GGACTTACCTGTTCACCAGGAGCTGTGTATGTCGTGTCTGTTCGGGTAAGAGTGTGTCTGTACGTGCAGGCAGTGTACCTGTTCGTGTAAAGGAAAGTGCCTGTTCAAGCAGTAAATGTGTTTGTTCGTTGAGAGTTGTGCCTGTCCGAAAGTAAAGTCAATAGGCACAGTCCCAGTTCTGGTCTAAGTCAAGGGGTTGGTCCAGATCCACACTTTCAAGTCCAAATACAGGCCGAGAGGCCTCAGCAGCAGTTGAACTTCATTGGGACTCTACTGGGACACATGCAATGCAGGGTCTGGGACAAAGGACAGGTCGAATTGAGCTAATGCAGACCCGGCGAGGAGTGACCAGCACTATAAAGGAAGCTGCCTGCCTCATTCCTCGCCAGATCTCCACTGGCTGCAATGCGTGGAAGTGCTGGCGCACTTGTGCGCTGAGTCAGGAGGAACAGCGCTGGAGGTAGAAGATGCGCTGAATGCAGGAAGAAGCCTGTACGTTGGAGATGACGCAGCCATAGCTGCCCAGCGAGTTAGCATTAGTAGTAGTGGGTTAGTATGTAGCTATGAGTAGTATTCAGAGTAGATCCTCATGAGTGAAGGGTGTGTATGCATCGCAGGAGGAAGGGACTGAGGCTGAGAGTGTTCATTCAAGGTTCGGCTATGGAAAATACTTACCTGAGTTGGATGTGACCTGCAGAGGTGGCACTGATGAGTAGTGACCACATTGATGACTTGGAGACTATCAGCAGGAGTAGTGCTGACTCACTGGAAGTCATAGGGATGAGTTGACAAGAGATTGGTGTTGCGCTGATGAGCGCTGGACTCAGGGGAACTTTGAAACACTTTGTATTCATATTTCTGATAATATAAGCTGTGAAACTCGGTCCTCTTCTTCTCTACCTTTGTCTATGGTTGAGACTATTGATCACTGCGTGTGAAGATGATGCATGACATGTACACATCTGCGTGAGATGGTCCCCAGGACCCATGCATTATGAACCGATGACTGCTTTTTCTGCAGCCCACACTTGTCAATCATGTCTGCGATACTGCACACGGGGTGTGTGCTCGTCTTGTGAGTGTGTGCACTTACAACCGGGTTGCGTGTGGGCACATTCTTCTGAAGCATACGAACACGGAAACCTTCAACCTGGAAAAAAAGTAGGAAGGGGTACAAAAGGAAATAGAGAAATGTTACGATCCTGGTCATTCCCAAAGTGCAAATTCACAATGAAAGACAATGCCACCCAATTGCGAAAGAAATGAAAGCACTTGCAAAGAGATAAAGACCAGAGAAGAGGGAAAGAAGAAGAAGAAGAAGAAGAAGAAGATGTACACCAGCAAGACCAATGACAAATCCCACCTTCTCTCTCCACCTTCCTCCTCCTCCTTAACCTCTCCAATCTTATTCTTCTTTCCCAATAATAATAATAACAATGAGTGGATGAACCAGAATCAATATCCGAAGTTCCCTCTTACTGCTGACTCAACAACAACAACAACAACAACAACAACAACAACAACAACAACAACAACAACAACAAGTCCACCATAGCTATGGCCTCCCTCCTCCTTCCTCCTCTCACATGCCTAGTCTGGCGGACTACTGAGGGCCCTGCCCTCCTGTCCAAAGGACAACCCAAAGCAGCTATGGCGCTGCACTCCTGTCCAAAGAACAACCCAAAGCAGCTATGCGGCTGCTGACTAAGCCGCCATGCCTGACTCTGCCTCGAGCTTCCTTGGTGCAGCACTACCCCAACTGGGGCCTTCCAGATGCAGCACCCAACAAGGTGATGCAGATGGTGTCCACCATAGTGAGGTAGGTGCCTCGCCACTCTCCTCCTTTGGCCCCTTCTTCCTTCTCCTCAGGCTGGGCTGCTCGCCATAGCCAGGCTGAGCGCCCAGCTGCCCTTCACCTCCAGGCAGCGCTGTACCAGCCCTGCGCTTTGCTCAGCAGCATGTCGCCAATCCTTGTGTACCGCAAATGAGGAGCTACTTGCTCCTCCGGAAGATATAGCGGCCTACTGGCCTCTTGGGCGGTGACTTTCTAGGCCGAGCGGCCTCCCAGCAACCGGTACCTCCTCCCTTTCGGAGGGAAACATCATTGCAGGCTCTGCTATCGTCCGAACAGGCCCTAGACCCGGGCTACTTGGACTGGTACCGGCCTACCTCTATCCTACCGCTACTGGACCTCTAAAAATGCCAACTTTTTGTCTTCTTCTGCTCGGTCTCCAGTACCCAACGCTGCTACCACTACTTGAGTGGTACCGGCCTACCTGCTACTTGAGTGTTTTTCCCCGCTGCTCTAAGTGTCGTGGGCCTACCCCGCTACTTGAGTGTTTTCCCCGCTGCAACCCTCAAAGTCACGGCCACAGGTAAGTACCGGCCCTGCGGNCTGCAACCCTCAAAGTCACGGCCACAGGTAAGTACCGGCCCTGCGGGGCCTTTCAACCAACAAGTACCCTTGCGGGTCACACACACACTCAGCCGACAAGCACTCAGTCAGGCATGCAAACCAGCAGGCACGCACACACACACAGACTTGGAAACCACAGCAGAATGCGGGAATCTCAGCAAGGCATTCATTCCAGCGGCAAATCCCAGAAATCAGCAGTGTTCTTAGTCTGTGTTTTTGGCAGGTCATTACATCTGCCCTTAAAATCTGTAGAAGGGAGGGGCACGTCTGGCTACTTCAGCCACCCCCAAGACCCTTATACACATCCTCAACACCTCCAAATCGGCCCACAACACCCTCAATACACCCCCAAATACCCCTCCTACCCTCCCCCTCCTCTACACCCCCCAGACCCACAACTACCTCCCCGCATCCACAAAAGTTTATCAGCAGATTTGGGCTGTGCTCAGCAAGTGCAGTACAGCCCCTAACTCAGATTTGAAAAAAAATCAGTGGATGGCTGTTTTCTGACTGGTCTGCAGACCGCTGACCGGTAAGCCCCACTGGTCGGCGGTAAGGGTCGGCGGCCAGCAGGCATGCAACCCTGTTCATCACTGTGTCTGTTGTCCTATCTTTCCGGTTGGATACAGTCTTGATGAGGGTGCGATGTGTCCGGAAGAAGACAGCAAAAGCAAACCATTCCGGTTGACTACCGTCTTCACCCAAATAGAACACCCAGTCCTTATTGCTGTATCTGGTCTGGAAGTTGCTTCAAATGCAGCTGTAATGACCGGGTGTTCTATTCGGGTGAAGACGGTAGAAGAGATAAAGGTGGACTTTTTGAGGGCAGCAAGCTAAGGGCCTTTTTCTTTCCCCAAGAAAGTGAAAGGGTGGGACTGCGTCGATTCCCCAAAAATTCTTGATTGGAACAGCCTGGACAGGATTCTAACTCTCAACCTGTGGAACTCCTCCCAAAAAACAATACCTGCGGCAATATAAACCCATGTATAAAAAGAAAGAGGGGGAAGATTCACTGAAAATGATTGATTAGGACTCTGGACAGGATTAATATGTGGATCTCCCCACAAAAAAACAATAACTGATGATAACTGCATGTGGATCACAGACAGCTTTTCCAGATGGCCTTTCACCTTTCATTGCGTCTTTTCTTTCTGTACATCAACCTACGTATAAAATTCAACAAACAGGACAGTACACAAGCTGAGGGTTATATGGATGTGGTAACTTCAGTAAGGGTTTGTTCAAGTTCTTGTGAGCGTTTTTGAGTCCTTTTTTGACCTTTTCTTTTCCCGTGGTTGTCTATGGCAGAAAGCATCAACGCTGGGAACCGCTGAGGTTGACCCCATGAAGTTTGCTCTGAACCTCGACCTCCCAGTTGTGAACTTGGAACACTTGTATGTTCTTTTCGAGGACCAAGTCACCTACGGGTCATTAGAGGCGGTGAGTGGGTTGTTTGCCTAGGATACAGTTCAGAAACATGCTTGCCTTGGTTTTCTCTTAGTAATAGTTTGTGGTGTTCTCGACAATCCTGCACAACTGGTGGTTGGATTGAACCTCTTGAGAGTCTGTCTGTGTGAAGGTGAGAAGGTGGCCCGCCTTCCCCTCTCTCTCTCTCTCTCTCTCTCTCTCTCTCTCTCTCTCTCTCTCTCTCTCTCTCTCTCCGTGTGTGTGTGTGTGTGTGTGTGTGTGTGAGATTCCATGTGGACTGACCTGTGGGATCCTCCCTTCCCCAACCAAAAAGAAAACCCACCCCCACAAGAGAGAACCGCTAGAGAGAACCGCTATGCACTTGAAAAACACACGCACACAGACCACTCACACTGGCTGTGGGTTACTATGTGGACTGGACGGTTGCATGTGGGCTGGGGGGTACAATGCAGGGTGGGGGGCTGATTCTACGTTGGCTGGGTGGTATAATGTGTGGTATGCGGGTGGTGCTATGTGGGCTGGGCTGCAGGACACCTCCCTTCCCCCGCACTCCCTAAAAAAAGAGAGCCAGTTCACAGAGAACTGACCCCAGATGGAGAGAACCCCAATGTGTTTGATGTGGTTGAATTCATTCTCTTGCAATCAGACTCGCATTCATTCACACTTCACATGTATGCAAACAGGTTGTGCAGCAGACTGGCGTCAAGCACCCACTCACAACTCAGAGATATAGTACCAAGAACTCAGTTCAGATACAAGTTCACTTCCACTGGCTATGGCGGCACATCGCCTGTACCACTCTCTGTTCGTCACTCACTCGACACCGCTGTTTGCACACAGGATCACCCTGGATACCCCACACGCATCACTCTGCACACTCACACACACCCGCACACATCTACAGCTATGGTGGCTATGGCCGCTGCTACCCTATCGCTATGGCTAAGCTTCTTCTCGCCCTTCGTCCTTGGGCTCACTGCAGACCACCTCGCACAAGTCGCTATGGCAGCGCTTCCGCATGGCTTACGCAGGAATGAATGAATGGCTGGTCGCTGCCTCTCAATTTTATACTTCTGTAGCTCGTTGGTCTGGCCCTTTCCCATGCCCGTGGTGCACAAAGTCCCGTACGGTACTTGCTGGACTGGACTAGGACTGACTGGGACTGGGACTGCTGACTCAGCACGGGTAGACTCCACCACTTGCCTACTTGCCTCAGTCTAAACGTGGGCAACTTCGAAAGGCCACTGCTAGGACCTTCCGGAAGGCCGTGGACTTGGCCTTTCGATACTGTAGCAGCTACGACCTTGACCCTTCTGGACTGTAGCAGCTACGACCTTGACCTTTCGGAAGCTCTACAGCTACGACTTCTAGAACTCTACTTGACAGGCCTACAGATCGAACCCCTACCACTACACAGACCTACGACAGACAACAACAACTGTCAAAACACAGGTCACGGGTTCAAACACTCGGGGTTGACACAGATACTGTACACAGGTAAGGTGAGAACTAGGGATCGAGCCCTGGGATCTGCATTCGCTACTGCTAAAGGTGAAAACCGTTTCACTCCCGCCGGCCTAAATTCGAGGTCCTCCGAGAATAACTCAGTCCAAGGCAGGACCTTTACCTTTCTTATTTCTCTCGTAGGCTCTAACTATGCTGGGAGCTGTTTCTAGAAGTTCTATTCTAGTAAACCAGCGGTCGTCCTTGGGCTCCTAATAAGCGAATCGGACCTTATATTGTTTCGGTGGACGACCTCTACCTCCTGTCCTGAACACATCTTCATCTACAATGCCGTCAATGTCATATCTTCTGTCCATGTCTGGTGGGATCATGGATCTCCTAGATCGAAACTGTTGACTCGTGACACACAGCAGCAACTTTGATGCATGGAATACAGGGCAGGTGTGGAGGTGTGCCGGAATCTCAATAGTGTAGGACGGTCCATCCTCGCCGCCCTTGACTTCTAGGATTGGCCATGGTCCTCTATACGCAGGCAGTAACTTCTGCGAAATGTTCTCCTCAGGAGCAAACTCTTTCGACTTGACCCAGACTAAGTCGCCTACTTGGAACTGCGACGGGCGACGATGTTTGTCGGCTTGCTCTATCATCCTATGCTGGGCCTTCCTGAGGTTCTCTACAACTGTAGCCAGCTCTTTTTCGTGCTGAATCACAAACTCCCTAGTATCGGGTGGTAGTCTATGAATCTGGTCCCGGTTAAGCCCCTCAAACGGTCTGCGTGGTCTAAAGGACTTGTGCAACTCGTTGGGGGTGCGACAGGTGGACAAGTGCAGGCTGTTGTTATACGCACTGGCCACCTTGGGTAACATCTCGTCCCAATTGATCTGATCCGGTCTAGTATACATACGCAGAACTTGTTGTAGGATCTTGTTCATTTGTTCAGTCTGGCCGTTAGTCTCTGGATGGCGGCCAGATGACATCAACAACTGTGATCCGTATACTTCCATTAACTCCTGCTAGTTTTGACTTGTAAACCGGGTATCTCTATCACTAACTATAGACAATGGGACTCCATGCTCACTAATCCAAAAGTAAAAAAGCTTCTGAATCACTAGCTCAGTACGAGCTTCTGAGGGTAAGGGAATGTCTGGGCTGGTCAGGGATAGGCAGGGGTCTGAGAAGACCTAGAGGGGCACGCGTAGTGGTCTTGTTCCTCTGGCACACTTTACAACTGCGGACATCCTCTATGCAGTCATTCTTCATCCCTGGCCAAGTATACGCGCGCATCAGATTGGCTAAAGTCTTTTGCCAACCAAAATGTCCCTCAGTATCGTGGCATTCCCCTAGGATAAGATTACGGATCTCTTCGCTGTTAGGAACGCACAATCGATCAACAACGTTAGTCTTCTCAAATAGTAGCCCATCGGTAGTGCAGTAGTCTGGTTCCGACTCTGGGGCGTCCTTTACTCTCTTGAGGAGGGCACTATAAATAGGGTCCTGCGCGTACGCCTCTCTACTTTCTGCTGCAGGTGTCTCCCTATATCCAGATAATGAACTATCGCTCCAAAGTAGTCAGCTCGTCCGCAACTACATTGTACTTCCCTTTGACTGGCTTGAGCTCAAAATCATACTGGTCTAGTTCGGCGGCCCACCTAGTCAGCTTAGGTGTCATCTTGGCCTGTGTCTTTAACCACCTTAATGTCTCGTGGTCTGAATAGACCTAGAAGTGCCTCCCAAGCAAGTAGTGCTTCCAGTGCTCTAATGCTTGCCTGAGAGCGTAGAGTTCTCTCTCATAGGTAGATGTTGCAACCTTCTCTGAAGGCATTCTGGCAGACATGAACTCTACGGGCCTATACCCATTACCATCGTCTTGCTGTAACACAACACCTTTACCATACTGGCTTGCGTCAGTAGTGACGACAAAAGGAAAGGACAGATCGGCTACTTTAAGGACTGGGTACTCTATCAGCGCCTGCTTTAATTTCTTCATGGCAGACGTGCAGTCCTTGTCCCACGTCCCAATCGTTTATTTCTTTAGCAACCTGCGAAGGGGCGCAGCGATAGTGGAGAAGTTGCGCACAAACTGCCTATAATAATTTGCTAGGCCTATGAACGGCCGCAATTCTGTCAATGTGCGGGGTGTAGGCCAATCTCTAATCGCTGCGATTTTGCTATCTTCTGGCTTAATGTCGTCTCAGTCTAAGACATGGCCTAAATACAAAACTTGGGTCTTTGCCTATTCGCACTTCTTTGCATTGATCTTGAAGTTAGCCTCTCTGAGCTTCTCCAAGACCTGCCTCAGATGGCCCTCATGCTCCTGGAGGGTCCTACTAAACACTAAAATGTCATCTAAGTAAACTACTACGAATCTATCTAACGACGGCCTAAACAAGTCATTCATACAGCGCTGAAAAGTTGCTGGCGTGTTGGTTAGTCCAAAGGGCATAACTATAAACTCGTACTGCCCATATCTAGTCCGGAACACAGTCTTATACTGATCATCAGGATGAACCGCTATTTGATGATATCCGGACTTCAGATCTATCTTCGAAAAATACTTGCAACCTTGCACCCGATCTAAAAGATCATCTGTACGGGGTAGAGGCTCTGCATTCTTTACGGTGATAACATTGAGACCCCTATAGTCTATACACATTCTGAGCTCTTCTTCCTTCTTGGGGACAAACAGAACAGGTGTTCCAAATGGAGACGAACTGGGCCTAATCCAACCCTTCTCTAGGAGCTAAACAAGTCATTCATACAACGCTGAAAAGTCGCTGGCGCGTTGGTTAGTCCAAAGGGCATAACTATAAACTCGTAGTGCCCATATCTAGTCCAGAACGCAGTCTTATACTGATCATCAGGATGAACCTCTATTTGATGATATCCGGACTTCAGATCTATCTTCGAAAAATACTTGCAACCTTGCACCCAATCTAAAAGATCATCTATACGGGGCAGAGGCTCTGCATTCTTTACGGTGATAGCATTGAGACCCCTATACTCGATACACATTCTGAGCTCTTCTTCCTTCTTGGGGACAAACAGAACAGGTGCTCCAACTGGAGACGAACTGGGCCTAATCCAACCCTTCTCTAGGAGCTCATCTAATTGCTTGCACAACTCCTCCAACTCCCGTGGGGACATCCTATACACTGCTCCTTTAGAAGTCCTACTCCCAGGCTCTATCCCAATGCGATGTTGGATTGGCCGCGGTACTACTCCTGTTGGCGGCTTAGCTAAGTCTGTGAACTCTTCCAACAGCTTGGCAATAGCAGGGTCTATAGGCCTCTCCTCTTTAGGCTCGGTCACTGGCCTAACATAGGCCACAAAGACCTGTTCTTCTAGCTGCTCCTTCTTCACTAATCTTGCAAATGCAGGAGCGCTAAGGCAGCAATGTGCCAAGGAGTTATCTACTCCTGACACATGAAACAGACGGGCAGTCTTGACTCCGCCTGACGGACTAGGGAGCCTACGAGTGTGGCCCCGACTGCCTCTTCCCAGTCCATCCCTAGGACTATATCGAAAGGAAGGTTGTCCTCTACGAGGAG